ATAATTTTACATACTTTACAATTTCAGTCTTGATATGTCACAAGTTAAATTTGATGTCTACCCTTCTTTAAAATAACGAATACATGTTAATTATTAAAAAGTGAAAGAAAGCAAAATTCTATAAAGAGCTATTTGTGTTTTTCAGTTTTGAGATGTATTAGAATAAGTTACTCCAAGTTCACCAAAAGACTTCAGAGGCTTGAGAAGAAAAACAACAAGCAGTTTAGGAATATATGGAGGACATGTGACAAAAAAGAGGTTGGAACAAGTTTTTATAGCCCAAGAACAAAACAACTGGTTCTTTCTCATTGGTAATGGCTCCTAGAATCGATCATATTTTACACAATAAAATACAAAAAATATTTAATTAACTCGTGGTATTCGATTCTAACCCTTAAGTCAGAATTATTTTTCCACATAAAGCCTGTGGTATTAAAAAATCTCTACACAATTCCTAATTTCTGTATATACAGAACCCACAAATAAGTTTGGTTATACCAAACTTAAGCAAAATAAACTCAACTTAAACTCAAGCAAAACAAACATAAAGGTCAGAGCTATGCTATCAAAAGGTATAATAAAAATAGTCCCAAATAATTCCTTCAAGCTACTATTTATTGGTTTCCTAAAACAGATTTTGATAATAGCAAAGTATGTGGTATTCATCTTAAAAGTTTTGAAAATACCTAGACAAATTTGATTCAGTAAAACTGGACAGTTGGAAAGTCTGTGGCACACCCTTGGCAAGTGAGTTCTAGTTGTGTAGCAGAGAGTTGAAGCCCCTTATGAAGAATGCAAACTCTTCAGCACTTGTGAAGGACCGGAAATAACACATATGATTCCTGCTAATCCTTGTTAACAATATTAGCTCCTGTCTAAAATGTTCAATTAAAGCAGTTAAAGGTCTGACCATTTTCCAGAATCATTGGTATTTTAAAAGGAGTTACACTTTGAGGGTTTAAAAGATTAACATTTCCTTTGTTCTTCCTTACATTTTGATGTTAGGTATGCAAAGATGAAATATAAATGATTTCTTACCATCTAGGCAGTGGACACACTTCTGTGATCCGACTTACCAGGCTAATACAATATAATTCAAATTCAACATTAACACACTTCAAGTTAAAAATAAAAAACAATTTAACAGTGCAGTGGTTAATAAAAGAATAGAGTCTAGAGCCAGAGTGTCTGAGTTCAAAAGTAGGCCCCACCATTAATTAGCTGTTGGGCAAGGTAGTTAATATCTTTATGTCTTACATTCCTCAAATGGAAAATGGTAATAATAATAGTACCTATTTCATGGGATTGTTACAAAGATTAAGTTAAAGCAGTTAATATCTGCAAAGCGTTGTATGTTAAGGTTTATTATATGAACAGATCAAAGATCCAAGTATTAGAGAATGTTTAATCTTTTAGAATAGCAATCTTGGTATTGATTTCTTCATTATATTATTTTTCACAGCACAGTATTATCAGACATAATCAAAGTACCCACTATGTAAAAGCCCATAAAATTATTTTATCAAAACAAAAACTTCAGATGAATTGAGTGCAAGAAAATCTTCATTTTTAATCACTTAAAGTACCTGCTTGATATTAAAAACTAGCTGTTTTTTTTTGTTTTTTTTTTTTTTTTTGAGACGGAGTCTCGCTCTGTAACCCAGGCTGGAGTGCAGTGGCGCCACCTCGGCTCACTGCAAGCTCCGCCTCCCGGGGTTCACACCATTTTCCTGCCTCAGCCTCCCAAGTAGCTGGGACTACAGGCGCCCACCACCACGCCCTGCTAATTTTTTTTTTTTTTGTATTTTACGTAGAGACGGGGTTTCACCAATGTTAGCCAGGATGGTCTCCATCTCATGAGCTTGTACGATCTGCCCGCCTTGGCCTCCCAAAGTGCTGGGATTATAGGCATGAGCCACCGCGCCCGGTCTTTTTTTTTTCCTTGAGACAGAGTTTCACTCTGTTGCCCAGGCTGGAGTGCGGCGGTATCATCTCAGCTCACTGCAACCGCTGCCTTCTGGGTTCAAGTGCTTCTCCTGCCTCAGCCTCCCGAATAGCTGGGATTACAGGTGTGTGTTATTATGCCCAGGTAATTTTTGTATCCTTAGTAGAGACAGGGTTTCATCATGTTGGCCAGGCTGGTCTCGAACTCCTAACCTCAGGTGATCTACCAACCTCCACCTCCCAGAGTGCTGGCATTACAGGCGTGAGCCACCACGCCTTGTCAAAAACTAGTAAATTTTTAAAACAAACATAAAAAATTAAAGAAGAAAAACGGTGAACAATTATTTCTGAACAGTATTTTTTTCCAAAGTAGGAACTTTTTAATCTCTAACTAAACACGTATGGTAAAACTCCACAGAGTAGTTTACTGAGGTCTGGCTAACCCAACAAATGACAAATCTTGATGTAGAGATCAGATAAAAAAAGAGTAAATTTTTAAGGATCCATAGTCAAATCTTTCTATAAAAGCATGTCTACTATATTTAAAATGTAAATTTAAAAATAATTTTAATTAAAAAATTACATGTAACTTCTCAGAACTAATTTATAATATAGTGATAGTTGGTGAGTGGTACAGCCTGGAAAAATCATTTCACCATCACTACAATATTTCATATTCAGTAAAATCAATGTCTGGACAAACTTTTCCTGTGCCTGTTTTAAAAACATTTTTATAAAGAAGTCTTTTTACATTTTGGTGAAGTATTTATTTTTACTAATGGATCAATTCTTAGGCCCACAAAAATCAGAAAACTACTTTTTGCTAAACATAATAGCCTCGGCTATGTGCGATGGCTCACACCTGTAATCCCAGCACTTTGGGTGGCTGTTATAGGCAGATCACCTGAGGTCAAGGAGTTTGAAACCAGCCTGGCCAACATGGTGAAACCCCATCTCTACTAAAAATACAAATAAATTGGCCAGGCATGGTGGTGGGCGCCTGTAATCCCAGCTACTCAGAAGGCTGAGGCAGGAGAATTGCTTGAATCCGGGAGGTGGAGGCTGCAGTGAGCCAACATTGTGCCACTGCACTCCAGCCTGCCAGCCTGGGTGACAAAGCAACACTCCGTCTCAAAATAGAAAAAACAAAAAACAAAAAAACAAAAAAACAAAAAAAAAGAAGAAGGCTCAAAGCAAAAAAGACTGGAGAAAAATAATGCAAATTCAATGCCAAGTTCAAACCAATTCTACAATGCTATCAATATTAAATGTAAATAACTATGGCTCATCAAATGAATGTCTCATATATTTTTTTAAAAGGCTAGGTAGATGGTAGTTAAGAGTGGTGTCTTTGGGGTATGGTGGCACACCTGTAATTCCAGCTACTCAGGAGGCTGAGAGGGGAAGATCACTTGAGCCTAGGAGTTTGAGACCAGCTTGGGCAGCATGGTAAGAACCCGTTACAAAAGAAAAAAAGAGTGGTGTCTTTGAAGTCATGCTGAATGATTCCCAGCCCTGCTGCTTCATAGCCTAAATGAAGTGACTAAACAAAATGCTTAATCTCTCTCTTAGCTACAGTGTCTTCTTCAGGGAGATGAGTATTAAGAGTAGCTACATCATGTATGTGGTCTGAGGATTAGATGAGACAATTCCTTAAAAATAGTCCCTGGCAATTTTAAGTACTCAACAAAAACAGAAGTCAGTACATAAAAAACAACAGATATTTGGGCAACAAGTCAGAACAGAAATAAAATTCCTTTTTCATAGTGTTACTGAGAAACATTTTAATAAAAAGGAAACTTTATTTTCAATAGGTTAAGAGTACTTGCCCTTAATGTCCATCCAACACAAACACACACACACACTCACTCCTCTCTCTTTCTCCCCACGTTACCCCTGCTAAAATTCAGGCTTTATTATAAAGAAATAATCATATATAAAATTAAAAGTTTTTTTTTTTTTTTTTTTGAGACAGAGTCTCGCTTTGTCACCCAGGTTGGAGTGCAGTGGCCGGATCGCAGCTCACTGCAAGCTCCGCCTCCCGGGTTTACGCCATTCTCCTGCCTCAGCCTCCCGAGTAGCTGGGACTACAGGCGCCCGCCACCACGCCCGGCTAGTTTTTTGTATTTTTTAGTAGAGAGGGGGTTTCACTGTGTTAGCCAGGATGGTCTCGATCTCCTGACCTCGTGATCCGCCCGTCTCGGCCTCCCAAAGTGCTGGGATTACAGGCTTGAGCCACCGCGCCCGGCCAGTTAAAAGTTTTATAATGTACACACCCCAGGTACTATCAAAATACAAAAACTAAGTAAACTGCAAACATTTCTTCGTCCTGATAGCCATGTACTCTTGACCTTATTCGGCAGTCTTCTAAATTAGACCTCTTAACTTTTCTTCAGGACAAAACACACACTATTCTCTCCAATCTCACCTTGCCCTGAGATTTCATGGTCAACTACTTTTTAATAAAAAATTATACTTAATAGCTCTCAGGCTTTCTAAAGCTTAACTTAAACAGTGTCTTCCCCCTACTCCATATTATTTCTTCAAAAAGTGCCTGGGATCCCATACAGCTAAATTTTACAGATACAGACAAAGACTCACCACGTACTTCAATCAGTAAGATGAGAATTTTCAAAGATGATATATGATATCAATCATGCGTATGACATATAAAAATATAAATTTTATGTTAGAACCTTTTTTCTTTTACATGAAATCCATTATGTATTTCAAACCATATCGTCTATTAATTTATTATTAGAAGATAAGCGCTAATTTTAAATAAATTATTTCTTTTACATCCTCCTGTAAACTAAAGTTAAAAAAAAAAAAGGTTACTTGATAACCCCGGAAACCAGATCATCACATAATTAACACTAATAATCTATATTTAGCATTTTATTTTTTAAATGTGAACTTTAATTAATTTAAAACTGTGGCTCAAGACTTTGCCTAGAGACAAGGCAATCTTTGATGGTTTAAATCTCTGAAAGTTAATGTTTTAAATTATGGCATAATTCCAATGAAAAACCATCTCTCTTAAGTTTGGGACTTACCTGTGCATCAATATCAATGGCAGGGTAGATAGGAAGCATGGTTGAAGGAGAGATGATAGGACTTGGAGTTGGAGTCTGAGGTTGGGAAATGGATGCAGCGATACTGTGGGTAGGAGTGTTTGACATTGCAGATGCTCTTCCACTGACTGCTGTTGAACAAAATAACTGCACTTAATAAGGATGAAACATTGTTAAGTAATAGTAAGACATATTCACTCAAAAATATTTAAAGACTTCTTAAAACAATATGTCTACAGGAAGACTACTATAGCACTAATAACTAATTTTCCTGGTTATTGTGATGATGACAGTGTAAAATTATAATGTATGCTGAGTAACTCATTTTCTAAATAATAATCCAACTGAAAAACAAATTCCCCTGTTATGATAAGTAGTCATAAAATCTTAATTCAAAATAACCCTGAAAACAAAAATGTTTATGTATTAAATACAAATGCAAATGGAAAGTTGTCCATTATATCTTAATTAGAAAAGGGATCAAAGGTAAAATAGTCAAGATCAGAAGGGAGAATACATGGTTTTTACTTGCCGATTTCACACCTTATATTCTAGAACTAGTAAAATTAATATCACTCTTGCGGAGGGAGAAATCTCACTATGCAATCATTTAAAACACCTCCTACTGTTTTACTAACTGCATACTGGGATACAGTAATATTATGCATTGTAGCCCACTGGATGACAGGATATTCAAATATAAAAATTTATCCTCACACAGAAGTGTAGTTGCTCATGTGAAGAATTACTCTGAGGGAGCTAAAATGCTCACCAATGAATCCAGCAATCACACTGACTTAAGGATAAAATTAAAAGATTAGGGTAGAAATAAATGTATGCACACAAACATTCTTCAAATATGGATTACTATTATTCTAAGTATGATGTTGCTGTCATATTATTTTCACCAAAATATGCAACTTAAGAAAAGGCTATTCTGATCAGTACTTGAGGTGGGAGGACTCCAAATATGCTGGCATAGGATATACTGTAGATTCAGCTGAGGGTACTTTATTCTCTCATTGCCTTATTTCTGGAGTTGATATGTGAACATCATCTCCCCCAACCCCATTAAAAATGCTATAGTGTTAAAGTATGGGCATTTATCTTTGGTCAACAATAATGTGGATGTGTATTACCAAAGTAGTTATCAACTACATCAGACAGAAAACAATCATGATTCACAACTGGATCTGAAACCAGGCAAAAGAGATTAAGATCCTGTCAAGAATAAAACTGAAATTGATCTTATTATAACACTTATAAACATAACTATGAATTAAGAAATCTATTTTACATGAAATCCTTAGTTCAGGCACAAACATACACTATACATTATAGCAACACACATTCTATAATTATACATTTTTAAGTCCACTTAAAAGCCAAAGGAAAAACAAAGGAGAAAATAAAACAAAACAAAACAAAACAAAACACTGTTTGAATCCTTAGGGATCCAGACCAATAGAAAAGGGCAAACACTAACATATTAAATTGATCATCTAGTGATCTGGATATTGTTACTCCATATTGATAGTTTTGTTATGTTACGAAAAGATCAAGATAATTTAAATATACATATTGTAGATATAAATTTCAAAAAATATATCTAGAGCTCTTAAAATTGATTCCGTAACTCCTTTGATTGGATTTTCACAATAAAAACGCTAAAGACAAAAAGTAGCTTAAACAGGATGAACAACAGTCTGTCTGAATCACTAAATTTTATTTCATAATACTAAACAGGTTAAAAAAAAAATCTAAGTTTTATTGTTAAATGACTAAATTATAATTTACATTTCAACTGGAATATGTTAAAGAACCTACCAAAATTACAGTTTTTTTTTTAAGTCAAATTGGTTGTTCTTATCACCTCATCTAAAAGGAAATAGGAAAAATCAATTATCTCATCATTTCCTTCGGGGTACCCATGAAATTGGTTTACTAAAATTAAGTAACTGTTAATCACACATCCATTCTCCACAACTGAAAGTAACAAATGTAAAATATGTAGGTACCTGAAGGAACTCTAGTAAAAATCTTTACATGTGGGGCTTCATTTTAGGGTTAGATTTAGAAAGGGAGAACCACACGTCAGAAAAGTTTTAATGTCAGCGTAGGAAAAAGGGAACTTGAGACGATAGCAAAGGCAAGGTGTTGAGATAGGTTAAATAGGGAGCTGATTCTGGTTTGGCAAGTGTGAAGAACAGGAAAGACAGACGATTTTGGTCAGCAAATTTTATGGTAGAAGTCTAATAAATGAAGGCTAAGAAATACAGAACAGGGAGTGTGCTAGAGGGAGGGAAAGAAGACGATGAGACTAATGAGGCTGTAATATACTTTAAACCCCTAAGAAAGAAGTGGAAATCATCATTAAGCAACTGAAAAGATACATCCTACCATAGAAATTTAAGATTGAGGTTGCAAAAGTGAGTGCATGAGTATATGTGTATGTGTGTGAATGTGCACATGTCTGTTGTCAGAGATGAGTTGCAGGTAAGTAGCCAAATGTTTTTAACCCTACTCTTCCTCCTTCTGGCTATCTTTCTCTCCCCATAGAAATGAGCATAATAAATAAAAAAGTAAAATATTTTTGTATTATGACAAGTATTTGTCATATTTCCTAAAAAGTTATGTGCACTTAAAAATTTTTTTATCCGGAACACTGAGAACACATATAATAGAATTTTTTTTGTTTCATGTATGAATCAAAAGAAAAGATACTTTACAAACTTCTGATAATTCTGATCAGCATACAAAACTGTACAACTAGCAAATCATTGTTGACAACTATGCATGCCCAAGCACATCAGGTAAACTCTGATATATCAAAAAAATGTTTAAACAACCATTACTATGTAATGCCTATTCTTCATTCAAGTGGATACGTTAATATTTAACTCTACACATCGGTTAGTAGTTTCACATGATAGAGCACTATTATGATCTGAATTCATATGGACATAGTAACAAATCTAGGGTTAATGGTTACTGTGTTCCAACTTTCACAGGATATTTAATAATTTTTAAGTTTTATTCTCAGTTATAATCAGCTAATCATGATTAGTAGTGACTTTCAAATCTACAGAAAAATTTTGCACTCATCAATAAGAGCCATACAATTCTTACTAGTAATTATTACTAGCATTTTTCCAATGTGGTCATTTAACCCTTAAGACTAGCAGAAATTTTCATTCCACATGTTATAACTATTGATGTGCTATTAAAGGAGGACTAGCACACTTTACAGATATTTTTAAGTATAAAATCTATCTCAGCTGGTTTCTTAGTGTCTGAATGTTACTTAAACATCTAAACACTATACAATTTAGTTTTCTACTATCCTTTTAAAAGATGAAACTTAATTATATAATCTCATCATATTTAATGCTATTGAAACAGTTTTTAAATTAGAAAAAGTCGATCATCCTTTAAGTACAGACGAATAAATAAAAAAGGGGAAGAGATCAGATGGAAGTTATCAAAATTCCACTGTTTATTCCTTCCATTTTTGTTTTCCTTCCTTTTCAAATTTTCTTTTTTTTAATGAAGCAAATTATCCTTCTCAGTATAGCACTCTTATGGCTCACAACCCTATAAAATCTCATACCATTACTTTGTTACAAAGCTTACATAAAATAAGTACCAAAAACTAGAAGCATTAAAACAATCTTCTAAAATATATCTTCTTGCCGATGAAACTAGTTATAATGGAATAAAATTTATCTGGCTACACATCTAAAAATATATCATATATGATACTTTCAGGGGGGCCACATCTTCTCATGATACAGTTAGAAAGAGACTACACATTAACATTCACAGGGGACAAAATCACTTACATACAGTATAATTAAACCCTATTTGATTTTGAACTTTATTAATTTTGTAAAAGTGTGTTTTTTTGTTTTTTTTTTTTTTTTAAATATCCATCAGGTTTGAAGTCTGATCCATTAGGATATAAAGTATTTCTGTTCATAAATAAGCTTCCTGATGTGTCCTACTAGTTTTGCACTTCAACTTCTATCAATTTCCCAGTTTATTGGTGTGAATACAGAAGCAAAATGCCAAAATTCAATCTCAATATTCTGAACTTAAAGGAAAAAAATGAAAACAAAAACAAAAATCAAACATCAACCCCACTAGTGAAAAACTTAGATTCTCAAGCTACCAAGCTAAGCCAGAAAGCTTCAGTCATTTGTATTGAATGAGCTAATCTTTAATTCAACCTGTATCCATCTGAGAACTTCTGAGATTGAACTAATATTTCTAAAGCTAGACATGAGTCAGTCCAAAAATAGTTCTCAAGTTGGGTAACGGCAAAAAATTTGGGTACATTCTTACTCGCCTTAAGCAAATCATATTTGATACCTGCTCATAACAATATAAACCCACCTGCCATGATGTCATCCAGCGTGTCATTGAGGGTCTGAGCAGGGCTGGCTACCATTAACCCTTGTTGTGTTTCTGTCAGAATTCCTTGCCCCAGCCCTGCCAACTGTGCTTGGCCCAGTACTGGCTGTCCAACTATCACTCCTTGCAGTTCTGTAAGATTTGCGATGGACCCTGGAGGCAAGGGACCTGCCGCCAGAGGCAAAGCTTGAGGCATCGCCAGAGGCTGGATTGGTGCAAAACCCATCTGAGCAGCAGTTTGCTGGGGTTCATCTTTAAGCAAAACAGGATCCACTTGCTGTAACCGTGCATAGTCTCCCTCAGAAAGCTGTTCTCCAACTCCAACAGGAGTTAGTAATCCCAGGTGTTGGCAAGACTGTTGCTGCTGTTGCTGAAGTTGAATTCTTTGAGCTTTAACCTCTAGATACTGCTTTTTTAGCTGCTGCTGAGTTTTCAGTTGTAACTCTCGTTCTACTTTCTGTAGTTCCTCCAAAATCTTTTGTTTCTTCTGAATTTGTTCCTCCCTTGTTTTGTTCAGCTCCTCGATCTTCTCCTTGGTAAGTTGGTCAGCATGAGCCAGTTCCAAGGACTGCAGCTGTGCATTCTTTTCTATGGCTTCTTTTATCCTCTGTTCCAGTTCTGTTAACTTTCCCTGAGCCTCTTCTACAATGCTCTCTGGAGACTGATTGGTGATGTAACCCTGTACATCCTGGCTGTTTGCTGGCAAATGGCTGCTGGACTTTTGTTTAGAAGCAGCTGTGTGAAAAAGAAACCCCCTCAGAAGTGCACATGAATGGCATCCTCATTACAGAGTTACTGTTGGGAGGTTTAGTGCCAACAGTTATGCACTAAGTAATCATATCCATAAAAGGTGAAAATGTACTGTTAAAAAGTTAAAAACAAATCCACCTTCTTTTTCACAAATATAAAATGTATGTATTTTATGTGCAAAATCTTTGTAAATTAATTTCAGAATCTTAAAAATATCACATGGCTAAAATTAGACAATAGAGGAATGCAGGTTTGTGATACCTAAGTGTGCAATTAAAGTAACATCTAAGGCTATGTGTAGATATTTTATATGGTCATAAAGATGTTAAAACTCATCATAAGAACAGAACAATAACGCTAAATTATTAGGGTGAAGAGAAAACAGACCTCTAAGTCAGGTTTTTTCACATTTCATAGTCTGTGCCTTTTAAACACACACACATACACACAAAGAGTACCCAAACCACTAAGAAGTAACAAGAAATTAAAATCCAACTAAAATATGTCTTTGCTGGGGCCTACCATCTTCAAGACTAATAGAGGCAAGATATAAATTCACATATTCACACAGCTATCTGGCCAGTAGAGAATTGGGATTCAGTTTCCCCGGAAGAAAAGATGCTGGACTATGCCATCCACTGTATCTTCTGACAGCCAGGTGAATAGACAGATCTGGCTATAGTTATAGCAATCAATTGTTTGCTATATCAACTGAAAAAGGTGCCAAGGCTCTAGGTTGATAGTAGTGACTGAAAAGAGCTGGTGAAAATACTTAGCATGCTTGTTCATAAAAGAATATATGTAGCCAAAAACCAAAAAATAAAAACTGCATTGTTTCTTCACGTAAAACTTTTAAAAAGAAAAACTGATTCAAACCGGTAGGTATAAAATGTCTGGGGACATTACTTAAGAACATGCATGGTGTAACATCCACAAGTCAAATATGGACCTCAGAATTCTAGAGAAATAAACAAGCATATCTCAAGTAACTGAATTATTGGTTGAGAAAAGGTATCCCAGATGTAAAATCTATATTAAGCCAGTCATTCTAAAATAAATTTCTAATATTTGATACGTCTTGTTAATTTATGCCTTTATAACTGCAGAGATTTAAGTATTTTATAAAAATATCACTCAACTATACCAAGCTTAACATTTTACATGAATAAAAATTACTAATTATTAAAGGAAATCATCTATAATCAGAACTGCATCAAAGATGAGCATCTGAATTTCTCATGCTAAAACTTTTAATTCTAGCACAAATCAGTGTTACTATTTTTTTTTCTCTCAATAACATGCTTTTATCATGGGTTAAACAAATTTAATAATGCCAACTTAGTAAAATTCCTTGTTTGTAGAAATGGCTATTTTTTGGTAATCTTATTTTTACCTGGACACCAAGTAAGAAACAGTCTTTAGAAGTATAACTGACCTTTATTCCTGATGGGAAGAGTGGTGGCAACATTGGCAGGTGGTTTGTCAGGCTCCTGAGGTGGAACAACCATGGGCAGTGCTTGAACCGGTACACGAGGAGCCTAAGACAAAGGACACTAAGTGACTATTAGTGTCCTACACAATCCATTAAGTAGTATGCTCTAAATAAAGAATAAATTACAGAGATTTTTTGAAAATATTTTTAATATGTCATCTGAGACAATGACATATTTACTTAAAACATGTTGGCACCAAATTGTTTACCATGACATTTTTTAGTGGGCTTTGAATTCAAGTTGCTATTGTGACCTTTAAAAGCTAAAGCATAATCATATTATCTAGGATCTGAATATTATACCAGATGTTCATTAACTGTATCGAGTACATATTTACAAACAGAACTACATATTAGAACAAAAAATAACCTAATTTAAACAGAAATTATAAATGAAAAAGTTAGGATAAAGAAGACATGCCATAAAATGCTTTAATTTTTAAAAGCTTACCCTATTTAAATCGTGGGATGGGGGAGTTAACTGAGTGACATCTGGTGGAGGGGCTGAAAGCAAGTTATTAGGATAATCCAAGAGATAGCAAACAACACTTGTATGGCCACCTTTTGCAGCTTCTATCAACATAGTTGAGCCATCCTAAAACAGTGAATATGGAAGCGGAAAAAAAGTGAAGAAAAATAAGTTAGTTTACAGAATCACTTAGGAAGATAAAGCCAACAGGTCCCAGCCACATTAAAATCATAGGTTTGGTAAAGAACGTTTAAGTGAAAAAGGAGAAAATTTACGCTCAGAATGCCATTATGAATGGAACTTGTACATGATATGTTGTAATAACGACCAAGAGAGAAATATTAATTCACAATGCCACACAAACATTTGAGTTACATACTTTCAAACGGTGAGTAGGATCTGCCCCATGAGCCAAAAGTAGTTCCACCACTGCCAGATGACCCCCTGCACAAGCCAGGGACAGTACAGTATGGTCATTATTAGCTGTGGTTCTATTCACATTGGCTCCTAAAACAGAAAAGGCATGGAAAATCATATTAGTAGAATGGTTTTTTTTAAAATTATGGTAAATTTAAAAATCATGAAGAGTAGAGAAAATAGTATTATGAGGCTCCACATACCCATTACCGAGCTTTAATGATTATAAACACATGGCCAATCTCATTTCACAAATATCCTACATTAATTCTTCTCTCCTATCTTGAATTATTCTAAAGTAAATAAATCCCAGACAAACATGATATAATTTGAAAAGGTTTCAGTATGTACCAGTAAAAGATACCCAAAATACCTATTACTCCTAATGTAATAACTGTATTAAAAGTAAAATATGAAGTTTTATTTGTATTTTAAGTTCTTCAGTAGAAAAGATGACTGAATAAAAATAAACTATACTGCCCTCTATGGGCTAAATATGTAGAGAACAAACACTAAATAGAACAGTACCCTTTTTTTTCCCATTAGGGAAAACAGTACCCTTTTTTTTCCCATTTTTCCCATTCCTTGTCAGCAAGGAAAACAGATAATTCACCCCTACTCCCAAATAGGAAGGTATCCCTAATTTATTTGTTTGTTGTTTTTGTAGAAATGGGGTCTTGCCATGTTATCTAGGCTGGTCTCAAACTCCTGGACTCAAGTGATCCTCCTGCCTTGGCCTCCCAAAGTGCTGAAATTATAGGCACGAGCCATTGCACCTAATCTCTATCCCTAATTTGGATTACTGTGTTAAGTAACGTGGGAAATGGAAATAAAACAGCAGAAAGAAACTGAAATCAAACTCATTAAAATTAACCAATGAGAGGGGACAGCAATTATGTATATAATGCTATGCTTGAGAATACTGTTATGAATATATATCACCAGTGCATGTCAAAATGTTTAATTTCAAAAGTTATTTCAAATTTTCTTTACCTATAAACAATTATAAACTTGAGATTTCTTTACTATTATTATATGAAGAAAATGGTATATTACTGCCTTTTAAAATTGCATATGACCTACACCTTTTTGTGTTTTGAGACAGGGTCTCACTCTGTCACCTTGGCTGGAGTGCAGTGGCACAATCATAGCTCACTATTACCTTGAACTCCTGAGCCCGAGTGCTTCTCCTACCTCAGCCTCCCAACTAGCTGGCACTACAGGTGCAAGCCACCATGCCTGGCTAATTTTTAAATTTTTTGTAGAGACAGAATCTCACTGTGTCATCCAGGCCAGTCTTGAACTCCAAGACTCAAAGGATCCTCCTGACTTGGGGTCCCAAAGTGCTGAGATTATAAGGGTGAGCCACCACACCTGGCTTCCTCTTTCTTTTATCAATGCAGAATCAAAAGTAAAATTTGTAATCTCTTATACTTAAGAATATGATGAACTCTGAATGAAAAACTGTCTCAACTAGAACTTTCATAGTAAGCACGTAAGAAATAATTTAAAGAAAGTAATAATATACTTCCTTTTGTTTTATTTGGTCATTAAGGTCTTTAATATTCAAACTAAAATTTCTGATCATGAATGAAAATCCTCATGCAATTTGCTATATTTGTCACATTTCAATTGTGAACATTTTTTGTACTATATTTATAACCAGCTCCCTATATTTTATAAAAAAGGAAACATAGGACCGGGAAATGGTAGAAATGTTACTTACCACAAACTTTTTTAGTGGCAGAAACATCATAAAATTCCAGGTTTCAAGATAATACTATATTACATGAACACAGCAGAGTTTGTTACCTAAATCTTCAGTTTTGACACAGAGAAATTTCCCTTTCCTTTATACATTTCTCAACAAGTGTGCTACTTGGTATGACAATTATTTCTAGTTTGAAGCTGGTCTGTGCATGGCAGCATGTTTATCAACTATCCATTCATTAAATGTCAGTAGCATCCATCCTCATATGACACCCTCTTGCCTTCAAAAGAGCTTTATCCTTAAATCTCTAAATGAAGGCAGGCGTAGATACCTTTGAAAAAAAGACAACTGTTTTAAACAAACCTACCTTTACTAATTAAGAACTGAACAGTACAAACATGACCAGCTCTTGCAGCTTTCATTAAAGGAGTTCTTCCACCCTCAGATTCATGTTCCTGTTTCAAAAAAAATAAGACTTAATTGACATTTAATCATTTAATTGCCAGTGAACAAGTATTATTTTTCATGGAAATCAAAAGGAAAATAATTGGACTGATTTCTGAATCTAAATATTTAAATATAATGCTTTGAAGGAAATTAAGAAATACATTTTTAAATTTAAAAAAATCTCAAATTATAAACATGTTCTATAGAAATAATTTTAGTATATGTGCTGCCAAAGTGAGCACTGGAAATAATTTTAAAACTGAAGTTGTAGTCACGTGATCATGATGCCCTCATCTAAATGCATCTGAGTAATCTGTCCCTCTCTCTACAAAATGAATTGCGGTACTTGAACATGCACGTATAGTACTCTAGCCTTCTCTGAACAATCAATATAATGAGCATTATCCTCATCCACTCCAAGTTATCTTCCTCTCATGTGTATCCCACCTCTATGAATTTCAGTAAGTATATCATTACCATCTCTTTACAGACTTCCTATTCTCTCTCGTTTCCCTTATATAAAAATGATAAACATTTCTAAAACCATCAACTCTAAGATGTTACAAGAGCTTTCTGGGTCCCAAAAGGATGGAGACTCTACTGCATACTTATGATTAATAACTAATCAAGAACACTACTGGTGAAATTTTCAATCTTAAATTTTCAATCTTAAAAAAATAAAGATTTGAGAAAAAGTATCTTTTGCATGGCATTTTTAATTTCTTTTTTTTAAAAAACTTTCACATCTGATGAACAATTTCTGATTTTTCCCTTAAGCCATTTCCTAGGTTTTTCTAATTGCCATCAACTAACCAAGTACTAAAGATTACATTGCTGTCTGTTTCAGAGCCATTGCGGCAAACATCAGGAATACAGTTCTTACGCTGAAGAAGTTCTAAGTCTAACAAGCTTGAAGCACTTATTATACATGTTCTATTCTAGTTAGTTGTGTGCTTATGTCTCCCTTGTTAGACTTAGTGGTAACATTAAGTGGCCCCAGCAATAATCTAATTCAACATTTTATTTTCATAAACGACAAAAGAAAGGTTAAATTATAAATTATAAAGTTTATAAAACTAATTACTGAAGGGGGGCTTGTTGCTGCCTGCACATGAATTTGTCATAAACTATGAAGGAAAGAGCACAGTTGCTTATTAATCTTAGAATCTCAGGCCCATAAATATATGGGTGCTCACATTTTAACTAAAATTGGCCTTTGGATGTCTTATTCCTATTACCCCACAGGCTAGACTGGAAGACCACCTATTCTACCCACACACAGTTGCTTTATGCTTCCTCAGCCCTCAGGCTTCACTCATAACATTTTCTCCTATTGAAATACCTCTTTAGCCACAACACTGCCATATCTATCTGTCCAAACTTTAACCACCCCAAAATAATACATCAGATGACCGCTTTACCTTTTGAGCTTCTTTAATCTGCACTTTCACTACAACATCTTTTATAATAACCTCAGTATTTATGCCACCTATTATTTTTCCTGAAATTATAAAGTACTGAAGGGAAAAGATTATTTATTAAGTATTTATAAACTCTTCTATTATTTAATAATGTTCTGAATATTGTAGGCATAATTTATTTCCTAAGCAATACTGAAATTTCTCTAAGCCACATTTGTCTTTTTATACCAAATCAGAAAACCTTCTAAAAATAGTTAAATACCTAAGGGAAAATTAATCTGCATTAATATCTGTAACACAAAAATTTCCTTTTTCTATGGAAAATGAGGGATAATGTAGTGACTAACCCTATTAAGGAAAAAAAGAATGGACTCTAAATAGTGTGGGAAAAAATGTGACTGACAGAAAGAATGGCAAAAAAAAAAAAAAAAAAAAAAAAAATCCATAAAACTGAAAGTAAAGAAATACCTTTTGTCTAGACTCTCCATAATTTAAAATTAATTTCTTATTGTTAAATATTAAGATTTAAAAAGTAAATAGCTTACCAGATCTGCGCCTGCCTGAAGTAAGACATCTGCTACATCAGTATGACCATTTTCACAGGCATATGTTAGTGCTGTATCCCCTGTTGCTGTTGTTGCATGAACGTTAGCTCCTGTAGTAGTGTCAACAAATAATACATAGACTTAAAAGAGCCATAAGACATATAATATATGACGGAAATAAAAACTTCTTCTGGATAAGTCATATCTCCTCAAGTTAAACAAATTAGAACCTTACTCATTAAAAACAAAAACAAAAAAACCTTATTCATTTCTAGAAACAGGGAATATTGTAGGCATTAAAAAAATTACAAACAAAACTGGTTGAAATTAAAGCTGCAAATACTTCAAACAGCAGTAAGGTAAACTGCTCAGAATACATACAAAGGTATATCACACTTTTTCTTAAACTCACACATTCAGTGTATCATAGCATCATAAAAATATTTGCACATGACATTTTTAGTTAAATAAATCATGCAAAAAACTTCTCCCAAATGCAAAAATGCCTACCTGCAGCTAGTAAGTATTTAACTAACTCCAAATGACCCTCTTGAGCAGCTTCCATTAAAGGGGTAGAACACCCTAGTTCTATATCGGCTCCTGCCTTAATTAGAAAGTCTGCCACTTCCAGAAAGCCTCCACAGCAAGCCAGAGTCAAGGCAGTTTCTTGAGTTTCTTCTGTCTGTGCATTGATATTTGCTCCTAAAATAAAGATTCCAATTATTTAAAGAAAATCATTAACTTATTCCAGAGATATGAAAAACATGATTGTGTCTTAATAAACTATATCTCAAAAATGAACATTTATATTACTATGATAAATAAGAAAGTGCCTCTCTCCTAACTCCTAAGGCAGTTAAAAATAAAAATAAATAAAACTATTAAAACCACTTCCAGATTTGATGTACCACAGCTGGAGTAATATTTACTCAGCCAGAAGGTACAAGTCAGGTGATAAAATAACTCAAAAATATAAGCTACATCCTCTCATTATAGTGATTCAAAAATGATAAAGATACTGGTGATGATGACAAAGATGATAATAAAAATCTTAACATTCAATAAGCTCTTACTATTTCCCAGGCAATATCAAAGCATTTTACAACTTGTTTAGGTATTATTATTATTACTATTATTAGTTCCATTTTACAGCTAAGGAAACTGAGGATATTTAACTTATACAAGGTCACAACATTATCGTCATCAATACTACTACCATCACTATAGCTAGCACTTAACAGGCACTATATGACAAGCACTGTTCTATGAGCTTTATATATACGTATTAACTGTCACAATAACCCTACACATGAGAAAACTGAGGCACAGAAGATTAGAAACTTGCCTAAAGTTATAAAATTGGCAAGCAGTGGAGTTGTGATTCAATCTAAGAAGTCTGCTCCAAAACCTATGCTTTAAAAATCATAGTCAACATTACCTCTAAATAAAAACAAAAGTTTTTTTAAAAGTTTCATTCCTCTTAAATTTGTCCAGACAAAAACTTTACTACTGAAAGAAAAATAAAGTCATGCTACAAATACAGAGATGGGAGATTACTTCCAAACTGAAGATATCTTAACATAGTGAAGTAATTATTTCACTTTTCCCAAAAGAGAAGTTTATGTACTGAGCCCCTTGACAGCCTCTAATGTGAGTGCATTCTTGCACTCTCATCAAGTTAGTCTTTACTGCATGGTTTCCCATACTGTTTTATAAAACACTAGATCTATTAAATATTTATTAGTAGGTATTCTGCTCCCAAAGGAATACATTCTCTTGATCTATTACTTTTAGAAATGTTGACTCTTATATTCCCCTATTTAACTCACAAGCCTTGCCAATACCAGTTGTTTTTCACTCACATATAGCACATGATGTCTCTGAAAGTTCTATATTAAAGAAGTTTCTTTGATTTTGTTTAACACAGTATGGGAGTCATTTTCACAGTAAATACTTCATCACTGGTTAGTGTAATAGCTCACTGCAACTCTACTAGAAAGCTGAAATACTAAAATCCAATTTTATACAATTATACTCTTAGGTTTTACACATTTATACTTTAGTGTCTTGATAGATATGGTTACCTTGACCTAGAAGTAATGCCACCATTTCTTCATGTCCTTCTCGAGCTGCTTCCATCAATGGTGTATAACCTTCATCATTGACCTCTTCCAGGCTAGCTCCTCTTTCAATAAGTAAAGCCGCAAGTTCCACATGCCCACCACATGCAGCCAAAGTTAATGGTGACTCAAATGAATCAGCAGGCATGTTCACTTGGGCACCGCTGTCAAGAAGTAACCTAGCTACTTCAACATGGCCATCCTAATCATAATACAATTTAAAAAATTAAATCAGCACCATTAAAAAAATCTTGAAAAACTTGAAGCCTTTTCAATTACTATACAATGACGTTTATCTATCTCCACTCAAACAGGAATAGATCTACATTTAACAGTTGAGTAAATCAGTATTTATTACGCACTGCCTATATTCTGTTAACATAGAAGAGGGAAATAGAGATTGAAAATATAAAATAAGTAGAAACATGGTACCTTCGATCAAGAAGCTTATTTACCATTAGAAAAAAAAAAACAGTAAGTATGTGAAATAAGAGACTATAGTGAGACCACAGATAATATCAACACTGTATGGTACAAACTTAAATGCTAAAAGGATAAAGTTTAGAGAGGGAAAGAAGAATTTTATAAGAATCTTTAAGGATAAGCAAACTTTTGATTAGTTAGAAAAAAATGCAACCCTTTTTGGAGAAGTGGGGGAAGGATACATGCTGTGTTAGGTGAACACAATGTGTACATGGTACTTTCTGTATTGCTCATCATCCAAGTACCAGTGAAATTAAGAAAAGGGCCAGGTGTGGTGGCTCACGCCTGTAATCCCAGGACTTTGGGTGGCTGAGGCAGGAGGATTGCTTGAGCCCAGGAATTTGAGACAGGCCTGGGCAAAATGGTGAGATCCCATTTCTACAAAAAACACAAAAATTATCCAGGTGTGGTGGTATGCACTTGTCCCAGCTACTCGAGAGGCTGAGGAGGAAGGATCATTTGAGCTTAGCAAGTTGAGGCTGTAGTCAGCCACGATCATGCCACTGCACTCCAGCTTGAGAACAGAGTGAGACCCTGTCTCAAAAATGAATACAAAAAGAAAATTCTATATTCTGTCTCCTTTACTGGTCACTTTTTCCCACTCCTTTCCTAATTACTGGCAACTTCAAGGCCCTCTTTTTCTTTCTTTTTGTCCTTCAATAATTTTTTTCCATCTACATGTTATCTCCCAGACATATTCTTTCAAACATACCATGCCCATTTTTGCCTCCATGCTTGTCACACTACACAACTTTAATGTCTTACTACTTTTTTTCTTTTTCAATTTGTAGAGAAGAATCTAATGTCTTATTAGTTTGATTACTTTGCTATTTCTTCAGTGCTGAATCTTCTTCCTTGATAGTGAACTCCTACATTTCCTTTAAATCCTAGTTTAAAAACTCAGTATTATAGCAAGTCTTTCACATGTCTGGCCCCTACTAATACCTTTCACTTATAATATTTACTCCCAGTGCATGTAGGCTAGATCTACAGATTATTCCATTTTAATTTCTTAAACTACACACAGGCTGTTTCCTCAGTAAGGAGTGGCAAGAATGACTAAATTTCCTTATGACAGGGAACTTTTAAAACTGTTACTGTTAATACTATTAATGTGTTTTATATCCATTATCTCATTTAATCCTCACAACTTCAGAGAAAGATATTTTCCTCATTTTACAGATGAAGAACTCAAAAGCTTAGAAAAACTTTCATTTGTTAAAAAAATAATTTGCTAAAGCAAACACTAAGATGGCAATAAGGAAAACAATAGATAACTCAAGTCTTAAATGGCTATCTAATATTTTAAAAACTAGTAAATAAAATTTAACATCCTTTCAATAATTATTCTCTGAAGGGGAGATGAGACAAGAAACTTCAGATTCTTTTGGGGCCCTTTCTACCGTTGGCATGTTCCCCTCATAAATTTTTCTATAATATTTTGATCCACTTCTGTGTCATAAATCATAAACTAGGACACAAAGGTTTAAGAGTACTGTTATGAGCCATTCCCGAATACAAACTCTAAAACACAGCTCTTCAAAAGACAATCTAGAGCTCAGAAAAGACCGTGAGGGGAAATTATGTAACACAAATTATGCTCTACTTTAAAATTTTTGTTTAGTCTATTTATTGGTTTGAGGTATGTTATGCTTATTAATAATGTACATACTCTGAATTATATTTCCTTTTTTCTTTTTTTTTAACATTTTTAAAAATAGACAGGGGGTCTTGGTATGTTGGCCAGGCTGGTCTTGAACTGCTGGCCTCCATTTTAATTTGTTAATCCAATCTTCCCACCTTGGTCTCCCAAAATGCTGAGATACAGTCGTAAGCTACCATGCCTGGCCATATTTTTCTTTTTCATATCCTCAGCCAATCTTTATAAGAGTCACTTTGGTGACGACAACTATATAAAACCAGTATAGCTATGTGAGACTAAGAAGATGCAGGTAGCATTGTAAAGCTTCAGAAAATAACTTTAATAGAAGTTAATGTTGTACAACTGATTCAATAAGGTTCTGACAAACAGAATCATAGCACCCATTGAAAAGGCATTCATTGTATACTACTCTGTCTCTCCCTGGTTAATATATAAACATATTTCGCATATTTCACCAATCTTACCATGCAAGCCTCCATTAGAGCAGTGTGCATTTCATCTGTTTTATGCTCTTGATCCGCGCCTGCTTCCAAAAGAAATCGCACCATCTCTAAGTGTCCTAAACCAAAAGTGTACAAGATTACTTGAAAATATTATTCCAAAATAATTTTTAAAATTATAATATTTTGAAAAGTTATATTTAACTTATAGCATTAAATTTATAAGCATAATAAAGTCAACTAGAAGCTACCCTTAACTGTAGAACACAAATTACACAAGTGATCTTGCTGTTCTACCCCTTACTCTACTGCCCTAGAAACTGCTGCTACTAGAGTCCCTGCTAGAGGTGAACAAAGATGCCATTAAAATCCAACACCCAAAATGTTCCCTCTACAACCTTTTAAGAGCCCAGGCATGTTATAGTTATTTTATTTATGCTATGGAATAAATCAGTTTTCACGAACTAGTAGCCTGAGATAATGATCAGTCAAGTTATTTCTGTAAGAAAATGTATTTAAAGTTCCAATACCTAACTCAAAAACATTTTAGGAAAAACCTGCTTATAAACTGGGAACTGTATGTATAAAAATATTCTTCAAACCACACCATTTAATTTATATTTATATATTTAATTATAACATAAACATGTACACACATTTATGCAGTTTCAAATAAACCATATGCTTCAGTTCAGATAAAGATACCATATAAGTGGTTAAAAAGCAGAAGACAAATTATAATTTAAAAAAGACTTCAGATTCTATGCAAAAAACAATAGAAAAATTATTTAATTTTTTCCAGCTTTATTTAGAATCAGCTACAATCAATTCTTATTCAACTGGGATGCAGGAGAAGGACAGATAGTGGAGTCACAGGTAAACAGTTAAAATTTACTTCGGTAAGTGTAGTATCTGCCATGTCTTGCATTTGCCAACTACCTACCATCCCTTTTTCTCTCTGTGATTCTCCCCTCCCGAAAATCCACATTAGTGCTCAGTCTCAGCCTGACTTCCCTCTCTTCCCCAACTCTCCTTGTCAGTCTACATCATACGAAACCTCATCAGAAAGAGAGGAAGGGAAAGGGGTCCATGGATACCTGGAAGTAGTAGAGATGTTCTCCACCAGCTCAGTTCGCTATCCAGCTTCTAATTAAAGCCTGCAAGCCCCAACCTCAGATGCCCCTTTTGGATAGCAGGGTGGGGCTACAAGCAAAGGGGAGAGGGGAGAGGAGTTACATGCAGCCCCATCTCAAAGCTCTCTGGCCAGCAGGGACTCAGTAGTGAAATGCAGCCAGTACTGGGTTCAAAAGTATTTGTGAGAAGGGGAGAGAGCCACCCAATCAGCCCACCCCAAGGCTTACCTCCTCTCCTCCCAATGAAGATCAGCCTCTGCCTAACTGTAAACAGGGTTGGGGAAGAGAACTAAGGGACCTCAGTTGTGCTCCCTATCTGAAAATCTATTAACATGAGATAATCAAAAGCACTTTATAAATAAACCATATTTTTCAAATTTAAGTTAAATTTTCGTCAATTAATCCAAATATATAAGGATTATTTTCATGTTTATAAATGAAATTATTCCAAAAGGCATCACACAACCTTGGCTACTCTTATATAGAACAAAACAACACCAAGGCCAGAACTAGGGTGAGGAAATCAAAGCACAGGGTGCAAAATTTAAGAAGCCACTCACATGTAAGCTTGTACAAGTGAAAGGTTAGTCACTGAGAATGAGTGTCTCCTTAAATTTTTTACTAGGTTTTGCAAAAGCTTTTTCTTGATGCCTAGGGGTCAAGAATTTATGATGTAAATAATATGGGACAACTATATAGATATATGGCATAAAACATAGAATTGAATGGCTAAACACACACAAAATTGCATGACTTTTTTTTTTTTAATAAAAAACTTTCTTTCTTTTCTTTTTTGAGACGGAGTTTCGCTCTGTCGACCAGGCTGGAGGGCAGTGGCCGGATCTCAGCTCACTGCAAGCTCCGCCTCCCGGGTTTACGCCATTCTCCTGCCTCAGCCTCCTCAGTAGCTGGGACTACAGGCGCCCGCCACCTCGCCCGGCTAGTTTTTTGTATTTTTTTTAGTAGAGACGGGGTTTCACTGTGTTAGCCAGGATGGTCTCGATCTCCTGACCTCGTGATCCGCCCGTCTCGGCCTCCCAAAGTGCTGGGATTACAGGCTTGAGCCACCGCGCCCAGCCCAAAAAACTTTATTAATAAAACATTTTCTTAATTTACTTTCTTAAAAAGTAAAACACCTTACTTTACAGCCATTTATCTGTCATATATGTGGAGTCTAAAAAATGTTCGGCTCTGTGGCTGCGTTTTAACAATCTAGAATATAGAATAGTAATTATCTACAGACCAAACATCTTTCCAGGCAACTGTCTGGCCTGCCAAAGGAGGGCATTTTCTGTACTATCAATATTTTCAGGTTCATTGACATCATTTAAAATACCATGTACCCCTTCATACCAAGCAAAATCTTCTCGACATGAAAGCTATTATACAGTTCATATTAAAAGAACTGTTTCTGATAGAAATTAGATCAATTAATACTCATTTTTCAGTGACAATATTTATAACGTTAAATCTATATTTTAAAAATTTAAATAGTAAACAAACTGAAACACTGTAAACACTTAACATTTTAATTACATACTATATACTATTATTATGTTTTATTTTTTAATTTAAAAACAAGATCACATAAAATAATTATAATTTCACATGTTTAAAAACTTTGTTTCGAGAAAGGTTTATACTGTACCTTTGTAACAAGCTAAGGTAAGGGCACTCTCTTTAAATTCATTGGAATGCGTATTAATGCCAGCCCCATTTTCTAGCAGCAATCTGGCTACTTCCACATGTCCAGCACTTCCAGCTTCCATAAGAGGGGTATGACCATTTTCATTATGGTCCTCAATACTAGCACCGGATTCCAAGAGCACCTTTACAACATCTACATAGCCTCCAGCGCAAGCATATGTAAGTGCTGTATTGCCTATTTTAATTAGGAAAAATAAAAATATATTAACATAAAATACCAAAATAAATCAAAGTGCTAATTTACATTAAGAAAATGGAAACGGAAGACTATAACCATAATAAATATTAAATTACACATACATATATGTAAATATATATCTATATATAAAATTCCTTTCCTACTGCATTTGATCTTTCTGAAATCAACTCCCTATTCTCCTTCTCCATTTAAAACCAAAGTCAAATACATGTGGAAAATCATATACACTTATCCAGACTGGAGAGTTGTAAAAGAACTGGGCAAGTCTGCCCTGGAGCTAAGTTTTACCTTAAGATGAGAAAAAAGTTGTTTTAATGTTTATCAGAGAAATGCTTCACAAGTTTTTTTTTATTTCAATGTTTCTAACTTAAAATTATTCATCATATACATACCTTTATACTATACCTTTTAATCATATATGTTTTCATTACAACTTCAAATACTAGTTAACTGATCAAATTCAAATTTCTAAATCTGAAATTGAATTCAATAATTTCTAAAACTTTTCTGCTGATAAAAATTTCCCATATTACAAGAAAAATCAACCTTCTGGGTAAAATAAGAGTTTCTAAAAATCCCTTTAAATCACAACATGATCTTAAAAAACATTTAATAAATTTGAAAAATCTGCATGAAGGAAATGCACAAAATATTTCCATGAAATTTTAGAACTTTTACACAAATCTATCTAGGCCCAAATTTGAAAATACATATATATATATTTTAGACTAAAGTTATGCTATTCTTCAGGACACAATGTTTTCACAATACTTTTTCTGTGGGCCACAATTTAGTAACAGTAGGAAACAATGGACTATCCTTTTGTTCCACAATCTTTTGTTCTCCGTATCTTACCATTCCTCTCCTAAAAAACTGGAAACATGGGTTTGAGCACTACAGCCCACATCTTTCAATTTCCAAGAGAGTGGTCCGTCTAACTGGGTCAGTGTTTTACTTTTATCTTAAAGAACCTTAAAAGGCCAATTGCCCTTATAAACAAAACAGGAAGAATATCATTCAAAATATATTCTATATATTTCAAAATTCATACACAGATGTATGAGAATATGTAGCACATCTAAGAAATAAGAGACCTGAAAAATTAGCACTAAACATCACCTTCATGCGAAACCACTATTACCAAATGATGTTACTACTTAGCAAAACTGAAAAAGAAATATGCATGACCTGTTGAAGACTGTGCATTAACATCTGCTTTATGAGCCAGCAGCAACTTCACAATTTTGACATGTCCTCCATTAGCAGCAGCCATTAAAGGTGTAATGTCACCTTTGATTCCCCTATCTTCCACATTTGCATGCATTGCCAACAAAACCTTATGAGAGAAAAATAGTTTAAAAAGATATTAAGAAATGATAACCGTCAAAAAATTTTGAATGCATGTATTTATATAATGTCTACCTAGTCGCAGTAAAAGAGCTATAAGCACACAAAATTAACAAAACTATTTGTTGAAATAATCCAAATGGTTGGAAAGATTTATTATTTCCTTAGTAAGCAAGCCAGTTTTATAAAAAACAACAAGCTTTATTTTGATAATACGAACCTGTGCAAGCTCATAGTATCCAGCAGAACAAGCTAAACAAAGGAGGCTCTCCCCTTCCTCTGTGTGTTCATTTACACTTCGCCCTTCAATGAGTAACTTTCGCACAGCATTTACATCTCCTTCTGAACAGGCTTCTGCCAAACTGCGGCTATTAGGGAAAGAATATCACAATACCAGAATATAAGAATATTAAAAAATTGCACAGCATAAATATTGTTTTTGGTTATTTTGTTTTTTGCTGTTTAGAAACAGTCTTGCTCTGTCACCCAGGAGTGGGTACAGTGATGCAATCAGCTCACTGCAGCCTTAAACTCCTGGCCTCAAGCAATCCTCCTGCTTCAGACTCTCAAGCATTAGGATTACAGATGTGAACAACCACACCCAGCCAGAGTATTGGATATTTATGTCAAATCTCTATAGTTATATGGTTTGGCTTTATGTCCCCACCCAAATCTCATGTTGAATTGTAAACACCAGTGTTGGGGGAGGGACCTGGTGGGAGGTGATTAGATCATGGCAGCGGATTTCCACCTTGCTGTTCTCATGATAATGAGTGAGTTCTCATGAGATGTGGTTGTTTAAAAGATCTTTGCTCTCTTTCTCTCTCCTGCTGCACCATGGTAAGACATGCTTGCTTCCCCTTTGCCTTCCACCATGATTGTAAGTATTCTGAGACCTCCCCGCTATGCTTCCTGTACAGCCTGTGGAACTTTGAGTCAATTAAACCTCTTCTCTTCATAAATTATCCCAGTCTCAGGTAGTTCTTTATAGCAGAGTGAGAATAGGCTAATGCTAACATTAGTGCTCAACAAGGATGGTTATTTCAGTATGATTCATAACAAAAAGCCAAAGATGATTGAATTCATTGAGTTTTTTACAATCTACATATCAATGGCACTGAATTAAAATTATCAATATTCCAAAATGTTTTCAGTTATGCAACTGAAGGATAAAGTCTAATTTACTGGTAAGTGGAGAAAGAACATAAAATTTTAAAACATAAAAGTTTATAGAAATCACACACAAATAACAGGTCATAATTATACTTCTTTTGTTTCGTTAGTAGAAATTTTTTTATAAAATTTAATTAAAAAGTAAAAACTGGGCAAAACTTCTACTAATTGTAAAGATCTATGTGAGTCCTTCCATCAAGTAAAGGGAAATCAGACAGAAAAGATGGGAGAATGTAATACTAATAAATGAATAACTGATGAGCCTTTTTTAGTTTTGTTTTGGAAGTATTTACTCATACAATCAAATTTTGGAAGAAGTTGCAAATCCAGGCAAAGAAAAAGCTGAACTCAAGCAAAATGAGAGTGGAAAAAGTGGAGTAACAAAACATTAAACTGAGAGAAAAGTGTATGCCCCATAAACTTACCAAAACAATTCCAATTGTAGACATTTCTAAAGATTCTCACTTTTGTATAAAATAATCCTAAAACTAAATCCAGGGCTATTAATATTCTTTTTATTTCAAGTATAACTCAATTCTTTTATTATCCTCTTAAAGTATGGCCCTTTCACTTCAGATACTAAAGGCATCGACAGATAATCACTTTTCTATACCTCTGTTATTACCATCACCCAGATTTAAGACCAACATCTTTGTCTCAGATACGGCAAAGCCTCCTAACCAGTCTCCTTGCCTTCACACTACTTGCTGTCCTTCAGGTTCTTTTCAACAAGGCAACCAGAGAGATCTTTTGTAAAGAGAAGTAGAACATGTTGGCCAGGCGTGGTGGCTCATGCCTGTAATCCCAGCACTTTGGGAGGCTGAGGCGGGGAGATCACGAGGTCAGGAGATCGAGACCATCCTGGCTAACACAGTGAAACTCCGTCTCTAGGAAAAATACAAAAAAATTAGCTGGGCATGGCGGTGTGTGCCTCTAGTCCCAGCTACTCGGGAGGCTGAGGCAGGAGAATCGCTTGAACCCACAAGGCAGAGGTTGCAGTGAGCCAGGATGGCACCACTGCACTCCAGCTTGGGTGACAGAGCGAGACTTTGTCTCAAAAAAAAAAAAAAGAAAAGAAAAGTAGAACACATCATTCCTCTACTCAGAACCCTCCACTGGCCTATAATGTCACTCACAGTAAAAGCCGAAATCCTTACAAGATCTGCCCTGTGGCAGGTATTCCTCTTCCCTTTTACTTCTCTGGCTTTATCTCCTACTCTCTCACCCTTATTCCTTCCACTTCGGCCACACTGGTCTTCTTGCTATTCATCACATATGCTAAATAAGCTCCAACCTCCAAATATTTGCATTTGCTCTTCCTGTGCCAAGACAGCTCCTTTCTCAGACATGTCTCACTCCCTTCCCTATTTCAGGTCTTTCCTAGAAAGCCATCATTTTAAATGAGGACTTCCCTGACCACGCTATTACAAAATGTAACATGACCTCTGCTATGGTTTACATTTTGTCCTCTCCAAAAGTCATGTGAAATTTAACCCCAAATGTGGCAATACTGAGAGGTAGGGCCTTTAAGAGGTGCCTGAGTCATGGGGGCTTTGTCTTCATGAATCGGTTAATCCATTCATGAATTAACGGATTAATGGGTAAATGAATTAATTAGTTATCATGGAGTGAGACTGGGTAGGCTTTATAAAAGGAAGAGAAACCTGAACTAGCACACTTAGCCTACTTGCCATGTGATGGCCTGTGCTGCCTCAGGACTCTGCAGAGAGTCCCTGCCAGCAAGAAGGCTCTCACCAATTGCAGCCCCTTGACCATGGACTTCTCAGCCTCCATAAATGTAAGAAATAAATTCCTTTTCTTGCCCAATTTCAGGAATCCTGTTACAAGCAACAGAAAATGAACTAAGATAACCTCCAACCCAACCACTGCCTTAGTACTTTCCTTTAAATTTTTCCCATAGTTATTATTTTATTATGTGCCATACTATATATTTTATTTACATGTTAATTGTATTTTCCCCTTACAAGAAGTGAAGGTCTCAACCAGCACTAAATAAATTTGTCTTTTAAACATCTCTTCTGATTTCCCATTTCACAGGACACTGACAGTCCCTAGACTCAATGCTCTCTATAATTTTTAAGCATGTTTAGGACAAATCCTTCCCGTAAGACATTTCCTCTATAAGTGCATACCTTTTCTCTCTTTTAAAGTAGTCTCTGTCTCTTTCACTTCTTTATGTATATACCCTAATCTACATTATCATTTGAATTTTTCATTCAATTTCTATGTGTGTATACCAGCTTTAAAACAACCTTAGAAGATCTACTCTAGCAACAGCTGAATTTAAGAACTTGTGGGCAAAGGGTATATCAAGCCTCGCACATGGCACTGTCCTTAACTAATATAAAAATGTGGCACACAGTACTCACTGCACGTAAGTCTACCATCTTTCTCAAACTTTGTTGAATAAATATAATTGTCACAAATATGTTATATTTTTTTCTGTTAAATTCCAGTATTTTCAATGCAAAATAATCTGTGACTTTTTATTTTTGTATTCTATTTCCTGCTTTAACTGGTTTTAGTATACCCTTCAAGGTGTTTTTAATTTTCTCTCTTGCCAATCTTAGCCGGCACCACATTAAAAAATATTTGGAGATAACCAATAATATTTTAGGCTAGTAAAACCGAACATTTACTATGGAATAGAAACCGAGATTAACTAAAGAAGGGAGTCAACCTACGAGAAGAATGGTAAAGCAAGTTAATACAGACACAAAAATCTAAATGAATGAACACTAATAAAGAGCCAAGAGAAACAGCAAATTCATGACCTTGTTAATACTATATAACTTCTCTTTTATACTCTTAAAAATGTTGTATGAAAACACCATTAGACAAAAGAGAGTTCTTAAATGCTATAATTTACTCTCTAAACCCAAATATAACAGAATATTCAGATGTTCTCAATTGTTTTAAGGCAATTGCTAAAATAAATAAAATGGCTTCATTTTATTAGAGGAGGCAAAAAGAAGCCACCAAGGGTTGAAAATGGTAACATGTATTAATGATTCTTTTCTAGTTGCTTCCTTGAAGTATCTATCCATTTTTCTTGTCACTCTTTTTTTTTTTTTTTTTTTGAGACGGAATTTCGCTCTCGTTGCCCAGGCTAAAGTACAATGGCGCAATCTCGGCTCACCACAACCTCCACCTCCCAGGTTCAAGTGATTCTCCAGCCTCAGCCTCCTGAGTAGCTGGGATTGCAGGCATGCGCCACCACACCTGGCTAATTTTTGTATTTTAATAGAGACGGGGTTTCTCCATGTTGGTCAGGCTGGTCTCGAACTCCTGACCTCAGGTGATCCGCCCGTCTCGGCCTCCAAAGTGTTGAGATTGCAGGCATGAGCCACCGCGCCTGGCTTCCATTTTTTAATATACATCCATAATTGTGTTTATATATGAGATGGTGTGATTTTTATTGGATAACATCATCAGAACAGCTTAAAATGTCATGTCACAAAACATTTACTGAGCCCTTACTAACTGTAAAGTGCTATCTGTATACAAGGAATTATAGGATATAAAATAATAAAGTCCCTGGACTCACATTCAAGTTACAGGAACTAGATCTATGACTTCCTTTAAGACTTCATAAAGCAAATAAACAAACAAAAGCCTCACCCTTTAAAATTTTCAGAACTATGCAAATGAACTGGAAAATGGCCTAATTGTAAAACATTTACTTGTCACCAACACATTAAAAAAAAAAAAATTCTAAATAAGCAAAAAGTCTTTTATAACATATTGACTAGGCCTCAGTCTTGCAGTCAGAAAGACACTGGTGCTCTGCCACTTATTATCTATTTGATCTTAAGTTACTCACCTCTCTTTAACTTTTTATCTGTAAAATTAGAGTAAAAACAAAATCTACACCATATAAAGTTTTTGTGAATCTAAATAAGACATCAGATGTCAAGTGGTTAGCACAGTGCCAGCCAGGCACAAAATAAATGCTCAGTAAATGTTAGCTATTTGCTATTATTTTTAAGAAAATGATTTCATACTGGTTGCAGCAAAAATATACTTACTTGTCCGACTGCCCTGCATTTGCTGTGCTTTCAGCTCTCATACGGGTAAGTGCAGCAGCAGCTTCATCCAACGCACAACTAACAGACGATGTCAACCTCCGGAGTACTTCAGGATCTGCAAAGGCTTTACCATCAGCCGTGGACAATTTGCCTATTCCTATTATATTATTTTCGCACCAATATGGACACACCCAAAAGGGAGAAACAAAGCAAAATTCAAGTTACTTAAAGCTATATTGTGTATGTTAACAAATAACCTCCAAATGGTAGAGCAGACATATATATCGGCTGCCCAGCATCTTTTGAGGAATCACTCTTCTCCAGTTTTCTAATAATCTTATTCATTCCATGTGGTTCATAGGTACTTGATCCTGTGACCCTCTGGTGCCAGAAATGGGTCTTTAGCCTATGATGGGACAATTAGACTCTGTCATATCTTTGAAAGAACGTATATTCAAAGGTTGCTAAATTGGTAAGATGTGAGTCATAAGCTATTTAGCCACTTTTGTCACCACATACAGAAAAAGACTGCCCAAAATAAAGTCAACATAGAGGAGAACAGAGACACAGAAAGAGAAGGGGACAGAGTCCTGATAAAATTATTTTTGACTCATTGACGCCAGTAGTGCCAGAAGCTAGCACCATCTCTATGATTTGTTAAATGTCTACATTTTATTTTTTTAAATTAATATATTTTTTTTCGAGACAGGATCTTATTCTGTCCCCCAAGCTGGAGTACAGTGGCATGGTCATAGTTCACTGCAGTCTTGAACTCTTGGGCTCAAGTGATCTGCCCAACTCAGCCTCCCAGTAGCTGGAACTATAGGCTCACACCACCACACTAGGCTAATTTTTCTTTCTTCTTCTTTTTTTTATTTAGACAGGGTCTCGCTCTGTTACCCAGGCTGGGTGCATGGCACGATTACAGTTTACTGCAGCCTCAGCATCCTGGGTTCAAAATCTTCCTGCCTCAGGCTCCCAAGTAGCTGGGACTACAGGTGTGTACTACCATGCTTGGCTAATTATTTTACTTTTTGGAGGAATCAGGGTCCCACTACATTGCCAAGGCTGCTCTCGAACTCCTGGGCATAAGGAATCCTCCTGCCTCAGCATCCCAAAGTACTGAGATTATAGGTGTGAGCCACCACAGCAGGACACCCAGCTAATTTTTAAACTTTCTTGTAGAGGTAGGGTCTCATTATGTTGTGTAGGGTAGTTTAGATCTCCTAATCTCAAGTGATCCTCCCACCTCAGCCTCCCAAAGTGCTCCCAATTACAGGTGTAAACCACTGCATCGGGCCAATGTCCAATTTTGCTTAAGAATGTTTACTAGGCTATCACCTGTGAACAAAATATGGCCTAAAAAGGCATTCTAGACTATATATAAAAATAAGCTATAAATGAATTATGTCTACAACTTACCACATATACTTAAATCATCTGAAAGTACTAATCTGAAAACCATTCAGAACTGCAAAATTAAAAAAAAAAAAAAAAAAAATTCAAAAGCAGAGATGGTTAGTAACCATCTGCATGAAACCTAACTGTTGCTCTTTCAGATATCCCTATAAAGCATGAGGCATTCTTACCCCTAACCTTTATTATTTTAATTCAGTGGTGCTTAATAGAAGCTGCCCATCAGCATCACTTGTGGTACTGTTTTTGCTTTTTTTTTAAGATAGGGTCTCACTCGGTTGCCCAAGCTGAAGTACAGTGGCATGATCATGGTTCACTGCAGTCACGACCTCCCGGGCTCAAGTGATCCCCCACTTTGGCCTCTTGAGCACCTGGGACCAGGCACAGGTCATCATGCCTGGCTAATTGTTTTATGTTTTGTTTTGTTTTGGCTTTTTGGTAGAGACAGGGTCTCACTATGTTGCCCAAGTTGGTCTTGAACTCCTGATTTAAGTGATCCACATGCCTCGGCCTCCCAAAGGGCTAGGTTTACAGGTGTGATCCAGCCCCCTGTAGTGCTTTTCAAATATATAGATGCTGAGCTTTTCTACATCTGGGGATCCAATTCAGTAAGTAGAAAGAAGGGCCTGGCATCTACATATTTTAAAGGCTCTAAGGCAATTCTGATAAACAGCTAGGATTAAAAACCTTTACCTCTAATGTTATGATGGATATTACAGAACCCTGCTATCCAACATGTGGTCCACTGAATAGAAGCACTGCTATCGCTTGGGAGCTTGTCAGAAATGCAGAATCTCAGGCCCTATGATGTACTGATCCAAAACCTGCATTTTAAAAAAGATCCCCATATGATTCCGATGCACATTAAAGAAAGGCTATTATAGGTTTTACAACAAACTAGTTAACTAAAACAAAAAGGACCAGTCACTTGGAATTAAACATATCTGCACAGATAAGTACATAACAGTGAAAGGTGTTCAATAATATCACATAAGTTTCATGTTTAAAGTTCTGAAAGTGTATACTTTTATAGTGCACTTTATAATAAAGTAGGCAGCCTAGATTAAGCACCAAGTTAGAATAAAAAGGTTAGGGGTAAGCATGCTTTATAGAGATATCTGCAAAAGCAACAATTAGGTCTCACACAGGTGGTTATTAACCATCTTTGCCTTTAAAATATTTTTTTCTTTTGCTGTCCTGAAAGATTTTTAGATTAGTACTTTTAGGTATATTTTTATGCTTTTCTTTAATAAAAAAACTAACATATCAAATGTTATATCTCACAAAACCAAAAATAAATCTGCCAAGAAGCCTTTATGATTATAGCCATAAAAAATGTTCAGAGTAGTCAAATTTCATAGCGGCTACAATTAAGATGTACAAAGAATAAAAATTGTCTTGGTCTGATAATTTATGTCACTAATATTAAAAGTCATACTATATTCTGAATCTACTACAATATTTAATAGATCATCTTTTGGTTAAATATATGAAGGCACTATTGAGATCAAGATCACAGAAGAATTTCCACATGAAAAAAATTAGCTCCAATTTTTCAGCCATCCAAGATCACTATATAACAAATATTTGTCAGTGATAGCAACAGGAACTAGGCAAGAGGACAGATCTGGCTCAGTAAAAACTAACCATTGTTTCAAAAAGAAAAAAAAAAAAGAAAATCTCACTTTAAATCTTTATGAACTTCTTGTATCTTCATAAGTAAAGATAACTATTTTAATGAAGATAACTAGGAAGAAACCAAAGACAGAGATGGTAATCTTTCAAATTAATTAACAGTAATCAAAAACTAATTCTAGCTACCCTGAATTATGGTGATTCTATTTTTTTTCTGGTCTTCTCCAGCTATTGAATATTAAAGTGAAGATCAAAAAACAGAAAAGGTCTGGGTGCGGTGGCTTATGCTTGTAATCCTACTACTTGGCAGGTGGATTTCCTGAGCTCAGGAGTTCGAGACCAGCCTGGGCAACATGGTAAAACCCCATCTCTACTAAAAATACACAAAATTAGCTGGACGTGGTGGTGTGCGCCTATAGTCCCAGCTACTTGGGAGGCTGAGGCAGTAGAATCGCTTGAACCCAGGAAGTGAAGGTTGCAGTGAGCCAAGATCGTGCCACTGCACTCCAGCCTGGGAGACAGAACGAGACTGTCTCCAAAAGAAAAAAAAAGAACAAAATGACCAGATTATTGTTTCCAAATTCTCTCATTTAATCAACAGAACCACAGAAATTCAGATAGAGGACACATTAAAATATTATTTATATTATTATTTCATAATAAAACTATTAATAATATTACTAACACTATTAAACTTATTAAATATTATCTGATTTTAAGATAATTGACTGCATAATTATCTTCCTCTTAGAACTTACTCAGAGGGCTAAAATGCAAAAGAAACTCCTTCTATAATAAAACTAGGAAAAATTTGTATATAAGCTAAATATATAAGCTAAAATGTATAAAGACAAAGTAAACCAGAGATGTAACTAACTTATAGAACAGAATAAACTGAAACACCACTATCAAAAGAAAAACAGACCACTAGCCCAACGGGAGTCAGGTATTAGATGTACCAGATACAGGGGTGAGGTTTTGGTTAGAAAAAAGGGAGACCAGCCGAACACTTGTGAGGAGTAATCAGACACGAGTCTTCATTGCCAAACTAAACACCCAGGTGATTATTCTCTAAAGAAACCAAACTAGAAAGGCCCTGGACTAGGAGACATCAGGTATACAGGAGGATGACATGAAGTACTACATAAAAGCATTAAGTGAAAGTTTACATGATAAGTAGTGAGATCCTCAGCCCCATTCCCACTGTCAGCTCCCAGAATTATGGTAGCTGGGTTCATTATTCAGAAGATAAACACTGACAGGTGTGTATCTAATAAAATGATCCCAAGGTTACCTGTCCCTGACGTACACATCCTACAATCTAGGGACTGTGAATTTGACAAATTTTACTCCCAAAATTAAGTTATATTACATGGCATTGTTGACTTAAAGACAGCGAGGTTAACCTGGTGGGCCTGACCCAATCAAATGCGCTTGTGAAAGGCAGACATTTCTTTGGCTGGTTGGAGATAAGGAAGCCAGAGATTAAAAGCACAAGAAGGATTCTACTTGTCACTGCTGACTTAAAGATGGAGGGTGCCACATGTCAAAGAATGTGGGCAACCTTATGGAGATGACAGCCCATAAAAAAATCAGGATCTTGATTCTACAATTGCAAGGAACTAAATCCTGCTACCAAAAACAATAAATTTGGAAGTAAATGTTCACCCACAGCCTACAGATAAGGAACATAGGGTAGCTGATTTCAGCCTTGAGACCATAAGCAAGAGAATCCAGTCACACTGTCCCCAGATGTCTGGCTCACAGAAATTTAAGAGATAATAAATGGGTGTTGTTTCACACCACTATATTTATGGTAAATTGTTATGCTGCAATAGAAAACTAATCCATGCTGTATAGTGAAATGCACCAACAAAACATGCATCCAGACTTTCCAATTTAGCTTTTTATTACATTGCTAGACTAAAAACAGAACCCAAGGATCACCAGACATCTGAAGAAAATCTTAAATATGAAAAGCCAACCAAAGTATTGAAAATGAGACTGAAATTTTATAATGCTAAAATTATAAAGCTTTGGAGAAGGAGAACAGGGACAAATGGTACAGAGACAGGGTTAAGTCATAAATAAGTGTGGCAACACCAG